ACCACCGTCCGCCATGAGGAGACCACCGTCCGCCATGAGGAGACCACTGTCTGCCCTGAGGAGACCACCGTCCGCCATGAGGATACCACTTTCCCCCATGAGGAGGCCAGCGTCCACCATGAGGAGACCACTTTCCCCTATGAGGAGGCCAGCGTCCACCATGAGGAGACCAGCTTCCCCCATGAGGAGACCAGCATTCCCCATGAGGAGGCCAGCGTCAACCATGAGGAGGCCAGAGTCCATCATGAAGAGACCAGCGTCCCCCATGAGGAGACCAGCGTCCACCCTGAGGAGACCACCGTCCGCCCTGAGGAGACCACCGTCCGCCATGAGGAGACCACCGTCCGCCATGAGACCACTGTCCGCCCTGAGGATACCACTGTCCGCCATGAGGAGACCAGCGTCCCCCATGAGGAGACCAGCATCCGCCATGAGATCACTGTCCCCCATGAGGAGACCACTGTCCACCAGGAGGAGACCACCAGCTCTACAGAAGCCACCATTGCCACCACAGTAGTCACCACTGCCCACATGGACACGGCTACTGTGTTTTCTGAAGAGACCAGCATCCATCATGAGGAGACCACTACCCCTAAAGAAATGATCACTGTCCCTCCTGAGGAGATCAGCTACCCTCATGAGACCACTCTCATCACGGAACCATCTAGTGCCCTCATTCAAGAGCCCACCACAGGTAAGCCAGCCTGGCCAGTCCCTCCATTCTCACCCACTGGAGCAAGCCTTCCACAGGCTCCAGGTGTGACTCCGACTCAGGGCTTTCCACCACAGGCATGAGGGGGCCGAGGGGAGGGGAGGAGGTGGCTTTTAAAATTCCTCACACATTCCACACCCCTGTCCCCATCCCGCACTCGCCTCCTCCCTAGGCACTCCTCCTTTCAGCAAAGGGCAGGCCTCTCGGGGACACCACACAGGCGCTCACATCAAGGTACAGTACAACTAGGCGCCTCCCCTCAGGTCAAGGCTCGGCTCGGCCACTTGGGAGGACAAGGGTCCCCCAAAAGGCAAAAGTGTCAGCAGCAGCCCCTGTTCCCCCTGCTAAGAGCCCCATAGAATCCTACACACGGCTGCACTGTGCACACAGAGGGCCCAGGTTAGACCCAGGCAGGTGCCCCATCAGCGCTTCGGCCTCAGGGAGCCCTCACGGAGTCCAGGCTGGCTGGTTCTGGAGCTTTCTTTGTGGTGTCCTTGCCCCTCTGGCTCACAGATCAGGGCCACTGGAGAGGCCTCATCCAATAGGCAGAGAGCTGGGGCCCTGCTGCCCACGGGGAGGAAGCAGTGAGGAAGGGGGTTCTCAGCGAAGACCCTCAGCCGGAGCACAGGGCCACCAGCCAAAAGCCGCCCCTGACCCTAACCCTGAGCTCCGCTCGGCCGCCTTCCCCTCTTGGCTTTCTTTTCCTCACTCCACTCCCTTTTCTACCTCCCTCCCTTTGTCTTTCCTTTCTGTTTTCATACATAGCCCAGGCTAGCCTCAAGCTGACGTCTTTTCGCCTTGTTCTCCAGAGTACCAGCAGCGCCACATGTGACCTTGACCTGAAACCTTCATACCTGTGCGATGTGTTCACGAGCACAGTGTCTTCAGGATTCATCCTTTAGAACATTGCTCAGACCTTTTTTTGAGACATTGAGGCAAGGCTCGGGTCTCAAATTTACTATGGCGCTCGTCTTGAACTCTTGGCAGCTTTCCTATCTCAGCTTCCTTTCTCTTCGTCCTCGTTCTCCTCCTCGTCCTCCTTCTCTTCCTCGTCCTTGCCCTCCTCCTCCTTTACTTTTTAATGGCAGGATAAAAGCAGGCTTACTTAGAAAAGAGTCTACGGTAGTGGAGAGACAGGGAGGCTTCTGGGGGGAGGGGCAGCGGGGGAAGGGAGGCCTGACAGAGGCAGCTATTCCCTTTCAGTGACCTGCCCTCCAGACGCCCACTACGAGCCCTGTGCATGCCCTGCGTCCTGCGAAAGCCCTCGGCCCAGTTGCGAGCCCCCCTGCAGTCCCGGCTGCGTCTGCAACCCTGGATACCTGTTCAGCAAGGACCAGTGCGTCAACGCGGCTTCCTGCAACTGCCTCTACAACAACAAGTACTATAACGTGAGCGCCCACCAGAGGGGACACCGCCAGAACACATGGGTCCTGTGGCCCTGCTCTCTCTGGAGAGGAGCTCAGAGAGGCCTGAGGGGCACTCTCAGTGGGAGAGCCCAGCATTCTGCCCTGGCTCTGGTTTCGCAGTGCTGGGGAGGGAGCCAAGGGTCCCTTGAGTGCTAGGGAAGTACTCTGCTAAAGATCCAAACTCCTAACTCTTCTCTAAGGAATTTGGAGCAGCACACTACCTTGGAGCAATGAACATGGCCCCTCACTGGGAGATTCTAGGCAGGTGACCACTGAGCCACACCCAACCCCTCACTGGGAGATTCTAGGCAGGGGCTCTACCACTGAGCCACACCCAGCCCCTCACTGGGGGACTCTAGGCAGGGGCTCTACCACTGAGCCACACCTGGCCCCTCACTGGGGAATTCTAGGCAGGTGACCACTGAGCCACACCCCAGCCCCTCACTGGGAGATTCTAGGCAGGGGCTCTACCACTGAGCCACACCCAGCCCCTCCCTGGGGAACTCTAGGCAGGTGACCACTGAGCCACACCCAGCCCCTCACTGGGGGACTCTAGGCAGGGGCTCTACCCCTGAGCCACACTCCAGCCCCTCACTGGGGGACTCTAGGCAGGTGACCACTAAGCCACACCCAGCCCCTCCCTGGGGGACTCTAGGCAGGTGACCACTGAGCCACACCCCAGCCCCTCACTGGGGGACTCTAGGCAGGTGACCACTGAGCCACGCCCAGCCCCTCACTGGGGGACTCTAGGCAGGTGAGTACTGAGCCACACCCAGCCCTGGCTGGCTGTATTCCAGAGCTCAGTAGTTGTGTGTGGACGGTGGCAGGAACAACAGGCGGATCTAGTCAGGCGGCAGAGCTTGAGCCTGGTTACAGCACTCATTGTCTTCATGGCCTTTGGAAGTTTTGTTTTCTTGGCTATAAGAATATGCACAATAATTCTGGGAGGTGGTGGTTCACACCTTTGATCCCAGCACTCAGGAGGCAGAGGCAGGCGGAGCTCTGAGTTCAAGGCCAGCCTGGTCTACAGAGCAAGTTCCAGACAGCCAGGGCTACACAGAGAGACCGTCACTTAAAAAAAAAAACAACAATAACAACAAACAACCAACCAAATAAATAAAATAATGTGCATAATAAGACCTACTTTTTGATTTAGTTAGTTTTTCCATATAGTTTCATATGTTCCAAATGGACCTTCAGCTGACTATGTAGCTGAGGGTGACCTTGAACTTCTGACCCTTCTGCCTCCACCTCCCAAGTGCTGGGTAACAGGTGTCTGGTTATGCAGTGCTAAGCATTGAACCTAGGATTTTGTGCATGTTGGGCAGCTCTCTAGTAACCGAGCTACACATAGCCCTCATCCACCCCTCCTCCTCCTCCTCCCTATTTCAGTTCCAGCAAGAAGAGGGAAGATTACTGTATCTTGTTGTTGTTGTCCTGAACAGAGTGTTTCTCCTTAGACCAGGCTGGCCTGGAGCTCACTTTGTAGCCCAGGCTGGTCACAGGCTTGTGTAGATTTTCCTGTCTAGGTCTTCCAAATGTTGGGATTTCAGGTGTGAGGTCCCTTGCTTGGCTTTTGTAAGACTCTTAAAGTTAGATGTGCTGGAACACACCTGTGATCCTAACACTGGAGAGATGGAGACAGGAAGATCAGGTGTTCAAGATCATCCTCAGCTATTGGTGGGAATTCAAGGCGAGGCTGGGCTACATGAGACACTGTCATAAATAACAAAACCAAACTAAAACTTTTTTTTTTTGAGGGGGACATTGAAGACAGGGTCTCTCTGTGTAGCCCTGGCCGTCCTGGACTCACTCTGTAGACGAAGCCGGCCTCGAGTGCAGAGACCCGCCTGCCTCGGCCTGCTGAGCCCTGATTTGGGGGTGGGAGGTTTTGGCTTCATTTCTGTTGCTCTGATAAAACACTGAAACAGAAAGCAAACTTGGGTTGGGGAGGATTTCTTTCAGCTCACAATTCCAAGTGACAGCCCATCACTGGAAGGAAATCAAGGCAGCAGGAATCTAAGACTAAGTCCTACCTAGTCAAGAACACAGACAGACCAGGGCATGCAGGCCTGGCAGTCTGCTGGCTTTTTCTACATCACACAGCTCAGGCCCAAGCCAGGGAATGGTGCCCTACATTCTTGATATGTCATCTTCCCATATCAAGAGGCCATAAGACAAGCCCCCAGGCTAAGTTAGTGTAGACAGCACCCTGTGAGACCCTTCCCGGTGATTCTAGGTATCAAGTTGCCAGTGAAGATCAGATCCTACCATATACCAATGACTTAACACATGCTCGGGGCTGTTATGATGCTGTCATCATAAACACATGCAGCTATCAATCAAAAATGCTCACAATGGGCCAGGGATGGGGGCGCACACCTTTGATCTCAGCACTTGTGAGGCAGAGGCAGGCAGATCTCGGTGAGTTCAAGGCCAGCCTGGTGCATATGGTGAACTTAGGGCCAGCCTGGTCTACACAGTGACACATTAGGAACAAAACAAAACACATCAAAAAGTGTGTTAAGCAAATTATATGTAACTGCAGCAGTTGGAAGGCAGAGGCAGGGGACTGTGGCAGGGGACTGTGGCAGGGGACTGTGGCAGGGGAGGGAGGCAGGGGACTGTGGCAGGGGACTGAGGCAGGGGACTGAGGCAGGGGAGGGAGGCAGGGGACTGTGGCAGGGGACTGTGGCAGGGGACTGTGGCAGGGGACTGTGGCAGTGCAGTGCAGTGCTTTGCCTTGGTCTGAGCCTGGATCATCAGGTCAATCCCCGAGACCCACACGGGGACAGAGAGAACAGCCCTGAAGGAAGCTGTCCTCTGAGCTTCCACACTGTGCTGTGGCCCCCACACATACATACATGCGCGCGCGCGCGCGCGCGCGCGCACACACACACACACACACACACACACACGTTGTAGGCGACTATTAATATTTACTATGGGTTTAACTTGTGGTAACGCTGCTGTTAATCCTCAGCAGCTGTATAACCAAATCACCACACAGAGACTGGGTTTTTAGTTAACCTAGAACACAATGCTGGGCAATATTTACTCCCTCCTAAACCTCCAAGCCCTCAGTTTCCTAACATTTAGATTTCCCACATTACACTTGCTTTTAGTGAAATCTTAGGTCTGGTTCCTGCTCCAAGTCCTCCAAGCTCTCTCCTCCTGCTCTGCTCTCCTCGTGCTCTCCTCTCCTCGAGCTCCTCCTCCTTCTCACCCTTTCCTGTTCTCTAGCTCCTCCCCTCTTTCCTATCCTCTGGCTCCTCCCATTGCACAACATTGTATCTAGTTGCTTTATTTGTGGCCTGTTTACACAAGAGTTGAGACAGGTTGCTTATAGTGAGTATCACAATGCCATATCCAGATGGAAACCAGAGGGTTGGGGGTGGGGCAATCAGCATTTGAATGAACAAGGGTAAGGCGTATACATTTCAAAAGAACATTATAGCAACACACACACCTCAGAACTGTGACGCTGTGACTCTTTGCCCTCAGCCCGGGGAAGAATGGTTCAGCCCCAGTTGCACAGCCCGGTTGCCTGGCAGCCGGCTGGAGTGCCCAATCTCGCAGTGTGCCACGCACACAGTGTGCCAGCTCAAGAACGGCCAGTATGAGTGTGAGCCCTACGGTGAGCGCCGCCCCTCTGCCGTGGGAGTGGGCACGAGGGTGGGTGCCTGAGAGCCACGCCCAGCCGAAGCTGCGTGTGTGCGTGGATGGCTCTGGTCCCACCAAGTGGCCCCTCCTGCCGTCGCTGGTCAGGGTCCCAGGTCTGTCCTGGGCATGGACCCGGGCAGGAGCCAGGCTGTGGGTCCGGCCAGGCGGGCACCGGAAGCAGCCCCCTGTCTCCACGCCCTTCTCTGGCAGGTAGTGCCACCTGCCTGGCCTACGGGGATGTTCACTTTGTCACCTTTGATGAGAAGCACATTAGCTTCACGGGGACACGTACCTTGACCCAAACCTGCGACAACTCCACAGGTAAGAGATGGGAGCTGCGGGAGGGGCGGGGCTGAGATGGTGCGATGGGTGTGAGGCATGGTGACACAGTAGTGCTTAGACAGGCTTGGTGGCAGATGGCAAAGAAGCTGTGGAGCCTCGGCTGGGGCGTGCCCACGCACTGGCGGTGCTGCCAGGCCAGCATCCTGGGCACATGCATCGGAGATCAGTTGCCGCAGACGGCTGTCCTGGAAGAGTGACAGTTACTGTAAAGGGGACTCTTGCTGGGGCGTGGGCCCAGCACAGTGCTGGCTTTCCGGCTCCCGTCCCCAGAGCCTCATTAACCAGGTATGGAGTGCACGCTCACCCTGTCAGGACTGGGCGGCTGGCAGCAAGAGGATCTGGAGTTCAAGGTCATCTCAGCTACATAGAGTTTGAGGCCAGCCTGGGCTACATGAGACCTTGTCTCACAGAAAAGGGTGAGGAGGACTCATGAATGAGCATGATCGCCTGAAGATGTCCCGGTCCATGGGGAACACAGCCACTCATAGTAGACTATAAGGCCACATCCCTTTTCATTTGGGTTCTGAGTCCCTTACCAGGTCTTGGGGTTATATTGCTCCAAAGTGCCAAGTTGGACGCCACCACCAACAGGGCCTCAGAAAGCAGAGGATGGGGCTATGTGTGCTTTCAATTCCAGTACTCTGCAGGCTGGGGCAGGAAGACTGAGCTTCGTGACACTCTCCCAAAATCAACAGGGGCTGGGGGTGGCCCCATTGGTTAAGAGCTTGTCAGCACACACAAAGCCCTGGCATCCATCCCCAGCACCACATAGCCTGGACATGGTAGCCACTGTTTATAATCCAAGTGCTGGGGAGGACGAGACGGTGCTTTCAAGAGTTCAAGGTCATCCTCAGCTATATGAAAAATTTTGAAGCTGGCCTAAGATAAAAGAGACTTTTGCCACAGACTGACCCAGCTGGGTCCCACAACCGAGGGAGAATCAGGGTTTTTGGATATCAGGTTAGACACAAGTAGGCGAATGACAGTCAGAGGCCACACCGAAGAGTGTTTGATTCTGCTGCCATCTTACTGAAGTTAGGCTAATAATTTTATAGTAATTACATAGGGAAACACCTTAAAGTTGGCATACTTCCCAGAACACTTAGATTTTTACCAAGAATACAAAGTTTACACTTTAACTCAGAAGTGTAGCCAAACATAAAGCAGTGCCCACAAGAAATCTTGGCCTGAGAACTTTTTGATCAAAGCAAACAAAGGACAAAAGATCCTCAAAATGCAGTTTCATTATTGCTAACCAGTGAAGAGGAAAGTCAGGAGCTAAGTCAGATGCCTGCCAAAGTCTTTCCCTGTGTCAAAATCTAAATACACCTTTGTTAACCATCCTCCCATATGTCTTGCTAAAAATTTACAATCCTCCTTAGAGATAAGATGCCAAGGGGAACAGGCTCGAGCCAGCTGTACTTTCCCATGCTCTCTTTCCCTAAAGAGGAGTCCACATTTTTTTTGCTATTCTGAATCTGATTCATTACTTCTCTTAAGATTATTTTTCTTCCTTTCTATTCTTGTTAAAGCTTTTAATAATCTATCAAAGATATATTTTCTTGAATAATTAATTGTGCTGTTCCAAGAATCATAGAGAAAGATCAGAAGGCTCATTAATCCAACCCCACAACCGCAACCGAGAGAGCATAGAAATCTCAGAATACGTCTTTTTAGCTTAGGTGGTCGGGGGGACACATTGCCAGGGACCTCCAGGGAGCGTATTCCCTAAGAAAACGTATCTCCCATCTAGTAGTACAATCTATTGATATGCTACACTGACGACGCTGGAGTGGGTGTGGCAGACTTTGTCTGAAACCAGCCAGCCAACCAAACAACCAGCCAGCCAACCAACCAGCCAACCAGCCAGCCAGCCAACCAACCAGCCAGCCAACTAAACAACCAGCCAGCCAACCAGCCAACTAGCCAGCCAGCCAGCCAACCAGCCAGCCAACCAACCAGCCAACCAACCAGCCAGCCAGCCAACCAACCAGCCAGCCAGCCAACTAAACAACCAGCCAACCAACCAACCAGCCAGCAACTAAACAACCAGCCAGCCA